GTGTCTCCAACTACGGTGTTTGCACTGAGTCTGCACCCATACCTGGAATGTGAGCTGGGAAGGAGAGAACAAGGATGGCGCAGGGGTCAGGACAGCCCTTCTACCACATCTCCCCAGGGAGCAGCGCTCGGCGGCTGGGCTACCCCTCGTCTGTACTGCAGTGGACTTTGAAAACCACTAGTACAAGAGCATTTTGCACTATTTCTCTGCTCTATCTCCCCCCCTTCTCTTTTTTCTCCCTCTTCCCCATGAAAACTTTTTTGTTGTTGGGGGTTTTTTTTGTTGTTGTTATTGTTGATTTTTTTTTTTTTTCCCAAACGGAGCATTGTATATTTAACAACCGACAATTCACCTCGCTTCCAGACCGCTGTCCTGGCACTGGAGTGGCTGGGACCCCTGCCTAATGGGCCCCCCCTCCCCAGCCCTGCCAGCCCCCCCACTGCTGCCATCGGGACAGACATCACCGCGCGCGTTACTCACCGTTGTAACACAGTTGTTAAAACACACCAGATTCCGAGTTTCCTGCCTGGTTTTTATCTTTAAGCAATACTCACTACACATTTTACGGTAGCTTTTTATAGCTTTACGTACATACGGTAGCTCTGTTGTTTCGTTTTGTTTTGTTTTTGTTGTGGTTTCTTTTTCCAGTAAACAAGAAATACTCATAATCTTACTGGTGGGAAAAAAAAAAAGCAGTTTGTGAAAAACTGACAATGGAAGAAGAGCTTAATGCTCTGTTTAGCATTTTGTACTTAAAAAAAAAAAATCTCACATTTTATTAAAAAGTGAAGATTGCTGTATACTATTTATTCAACTTATAATTTATGTTACTCTTTGATCTTTGTCTTTTCTCATGACAAAGCATTTATTTAATAAAGTTATGCATTCAGTTAGCTTGTGCCTGACCCTTGTGGACCCTCTCTGTGCCGGGGCCTGCCAGCAAGCTGCTCCAGCCCCGAACATCCCCTGGCCAGCCGCGCTGTGCCCCTGGGAGGCTCAGCCAGCTCCACAGAGGTGCTGAGGAGGTACAGGGCATGGGGTAACGAGGTGGCAATAGTTTAGGAGAGCTTTTGACACTGGAGCAATCTGCTAAGGCACTGGTAAAATTGCAAGTTTGAGTTTAGAGCATCCTTAAAGTAGAGCTGCCCTGCCTTTTTTAGCGATTTCTTTGCATGGATGTGGCAGTGGGGCACAGCACCCACGTTCAGCTGGGTTATGGGGGTAGACTGCCTGGCTGCCAGTGGTGCTGAGCCCCTAGATGCTATCCCCAATTGAGCCCCACGGTTTGGGATCAGACATGGTGTTTGAGCTTCAGATCTCTCTGGGCAGCTGGAAGATTCGTCCCAGTGTCCCAGTGTGCAGGAACATGCCTGTGACATCCTTGGGGCAGCCCAGGCTGTGGTCCTCAGACACCTCATGGTAGCCCTCCTTGGTAGCCCTTCCTGCTGCCCTGTGTCCTCCCCAGTGCTGGATCTGCCCATGCAGCCATCACCCTTCATTGACCCACTCGCCCCCTCATCTCCCTCCTCCTGTGTCCCCCATCCCCTCCATTCGACTGGCTGCCAGCATCACCCCCATGTGCCCAGAGCAGGGTGGGAGGCAAAATGGTTCCCTTTGGCCCCCACTGGGGTCCGTGGGTGTGCCAACACGTATCCCCCATCCTATTTGCACCACTTGGAGCTGGGACAGCCACCTGCTCCCCCACGGCTTTCTCACCCCATAGCACAGCTGGGCCCAAACCTGCTGGCCCAAGTGAGTGAGGTAGGGGGAGTCTGCACCCCGCTGTCCCCCCACACCACACCGCAAGGCTGGGCCCAATCCCCCTGGGCACCCCACGGTGCAGGAGTCCCAGGCGGCC